TAATTGATGTGTTATAATCTCTTTTTTATTGAATAAACCTTAAACTTTTCTTCAAACTTAACACATTGCCCTTGGTATATAACCAATATCCCCCGGAACCCCTCTCAATAAATACCCTGTATGATTAAATCGAGTTACAAGCCCTCCTGACAGTTGTTAAAGTGGATTGTACAGGGTCTTGAATAACTAGTATGATTTACATGTAAAACAAAATGGTAATCGCGCATTTGTTGGTGAATGCTCAAGATTTGCTGCACAATCATTCCCCGATTCAACAGTGGTGCAAAAAGCCATCCTTTGATCATTTGTTTAATATAAAGTTCATGTAATGAGGATTAGAAAAATAATGAAGTCTTAAATAATAATCTCTGCTGAAAATGATACCCTTATACTTGCAAAATCAAACCCTGACTCGACATATTTCTAGTGATGCAATGAACGACCTGCGATTTTTAACAAACGCCAAATCCCAACCGCCGAACGTTAACACTTAATGCTGAATATTAACACATTAAAAAGTGACAAGAAACAAAAGGATTGTCTTCAAAATGCCAAACAGCCCCTGGAAACAGTCACATGTTTATTTCTATGCTACCGTATATCGATGGAAAATATGTTAAAACTAACTTTAAACAATATCAAGTTGGTCTATTTTTAAAATTAATAATCTTGCATATAAGTGGCTTATCAGATCAATGATCAATCACTTATTCCATTTTAATCCTACAGGTCGGGAGGGAGCTGTGGGGGGTTACATATAATGAAATTTCTACATGCAGGATCATTTTCACATGTGCAGATACATGTATGATTAATAAAGTCGATGCCATGAGATTTGTGATTGGGTTTTATCGAAAAGAATATCACCAAAATATTTTATCATCGTGTAGAAAGTACAATCTAAAATCTGGTAAATGTGTTGCATTTATTGAAGCAATAACACTGTAATTAATACCACTGTAAAACTATATTGCAAATGTTTGATATGAAATTCGATTGTCAGGAGTACGAAATACACATCAATACTTTTACATAATATCCAGTGTATTATAATAAGATGTTATGACAAAGTCAATTGAAAAACTTCAGTTTCAGTAAAACTAGTTGTAAAACTCCCTAAATCTGTTAAAGGGAAGCCCCGGGGGAAGCCTTCATTCAAGCACTGACGTTTAAGTTTATGTTTAAGAGGAAGAATTCAGTATCCCGTGTGTTCACTACCCCCCTCCCATCCCAAATTATTTAACTTCATGTATGCTCCAATGTGTTTCATTTCTGTGATTGATAAATGTAATCAATATGATAGCTCTATATTACTCAATTCTTAAGTCGCCAGGAGGCGTTACTTAAAAGTGCCTCTTCGAATCTCAGCCTGAAAAACAATTCCTAGCCGATCTCCTGTAATCAAGTTAAACATTCCCAGTGATGAAAACAATGAAATTGATATCACTGATTGATTGGACAAGTATTAGAAATTTGTCTCCAATTGTAATACATACAGATGTATCGTATTTTGAAATCCTGGGGATATGCATTAAGTGAAGCAAATCTGAAAAGTTTCATCTTAAACATAACCAAAATTAAGCACAGAGCTATATTTTGCACTTTGGAACTTTCAACGTGTATCTAGTTTTTTGAAGCTCCGGCCACCGTACGCCCCCCCCCCCGTAGAGAAAATGTGCGCAAGGTTTAATTTTAATCTTATTGAATTATGTTAATTAGTTGCTTGGATGGTAGATTGTTTGTTTGCTTGCTTATCTGCACGATTGATTGCTTGATTGACCGTTTACTTGCTTACATTCTTTCTTTGTTGCTTCCTTGGTTTCTTTGCTGGATTAGAGTTTGATTAGTTACTTGATTGGTTGGTTTGTCGGTTGTTTGCTTGCTTTATTTTTTAGTTTCCTGCTTGCTTTGATGGTCGTTTGCTTGCTTGCTTGGTTGCTTGCGTGGTTGGTTGCTAGGTTATTTATTTGAAACTTGTCTAAATATCCATAGGCTTAGCCAGGGGGGGGGGGGTTGCGAATAAGAATAAGACCCTGAGAAAGAGGAGAAAAAGAACTTTAAAGCTTTTTATTTGAAGCTTCTAGCTCAATTTGGAATGAAGTTGCATCTAATTTTGTAAAATTCAATATAAAAATCATTTTTTGGCTGGTTTATGTCACAATCGCACCCCCCAATTATGTCACAATCGCACCCCCCCCCCCGACTGAAACCCGAAATCTTTTTGGCGATCGCACCCCCCCTGACTGAAAGCTGGCTACGCCCCTGATATCTGTTATTGGCCATAAATAAAACTATATTTATATTGTGAGCATTTATGGGTTTTGATAATAATTGGCTTTATACATGTATAATTAATCAAATGTCATATTGTATCATGTTGGCTAAATCGTTTCAAGTGAAATATTTAGAACTGAAATCGGGGTTCGCTTAGTTTGAGTCAGGGAACAATCACACAGACGGATTAATTAATATTTGTTTTGATACATGAGTATTATAGGTTATAGGCAGTATCATGAGAACCAAGTAAACGTGTATAGGATTATTTTTTGTTTATTCGGAATTGAGTGAACCATCTGTAGTTTTAATTAGGATCAATAAATACATCTAATCAAGATCAAATATTAGAAATCTATTTTTGACTGGATAAATTTTTGTTCGAATGTCAAACAGAACCTTCACGTTCTTTATTCATTTGGAACTTTGGTTTGAATTATTTCAATCAAATGTGTGTTGATACCCCGGGCCAATGCCATTAATTGACAAAATGTTGCAATACATTGCACGCTCGGTCTTAACTGTGTTCATCGACGGGAGCCGAGTGAACGAAGATGGTTGCAATAGGGGGGGGGGGCATTATTGTCTTTATTACAAATTACTTTTACACATTATAACATACATAGTAAACGCGACCCGATCGGGGAAGGGATTGGGGTTGTGCACAATTTGCTATCTCTTTATACATGTTTTATTGCCAAATTAATATGAAAACAAGCTGGAGTAACATAAATATTTATTTAGTATTTTGTTACCACACATCAAAAGGCGCATTTGAAGTTCAGAAAATGCAAGAAGACTTGGCTAGATATTATGTACTTATATATTTATATGTTACGTATTTATTTTGTATTCAATTCCAATTCTCGCACTCCTTGAACCACCCCACCCCTTGGCTACGGGTATAAGTACATTCGGCACACGGAGAGAATAATATTAGACTTCTGCAATGCAACTAATAAGAGAGACCTAAAATGAAAATAATGTAACAAGTGCTCTACTTTGGTGATAAAAATAACTGTACCTGTAAAAATATACAATTGTAGTCCATCACAAAGTTCATTTATTTCATGAAAGTGTCAAGGGACAATGCATCTAAACACTAAGATAAACAATTAATTAACTTCTGAAGAAACATCCTGTAGTGGAAAAAAAAAACAAATGGCCTTTCATAACGGATAAGAATAGCCAGTCTGTCTGATTGTATAATATATTAGATACATTTTAAATTCCTTGGGAAATGAAAAATAGTTTTTTCTGGCTGTTTAATGAAAACATAAAAATAAAAAGATGAAAATTTCCCATTCATTAACATCTACATACCCCTAGTGGTATGGGCCGTGTGATTGCTACAAATGGACATGCATAATAGATGATGTATTTGAAAGGTGGCTTTGCCTCGATGTATTGGTTAATGAATGATATTATAAACTTTATTGATCGTGAATTCACCTTTCCAAATTCAAATCCCAAATAAATAAAGCACACAATTCAAGCGTGACACAAAAAGAGCAAAACTGAAAACCCTTTAACCTATAGTGCCCGACATTATGTTAATAAATAATTTCTACATGTTGAAATATATTGCTATTTGATTGAGTTCAAGACAAAACTTTTTGGAATTGTTTCACATAATGTAATATTCCTCGGATTTGGTGCATACAGATGTTTTACAATCAGAGACAAGGGTCTTATACGGGGTATTATATTTGGCAAACCAATCAATAAGTAGTATTAAATTATCACAAGGTAAATAACTTAATCCCTTTTAAAATTGCGGTTAAGTAGCATCTTAATTACAGTAAAGAAAGATCATCTAGGAATTATTTCTGCCTCTCATTCCTTAAACCGGCTTCGTTAAACAGTGTCAAGATATTTAAGTCAGAGCCAAAAACAAGACTATTTTTATATTTAAATCCCCTCACCTTGTCAATGTTTATGTCTGCATCTGGTTTTTCCTACCTTTTGGAGGGAGACAATATACACATAGATTAATTACTGGCCATGGACAGGGGGCACAGAAACGAACATTCTGGGATCATTGGGGATAATTGGGGAAGGGGGGTGGGTGGTGTTGAATAGAAAAGTCCGAGAGTGAAGTTAAGGGGTCCTGAAATCTTTCTTTTGATATTCAGTGCTTGAATGGAGACTTGTTTCCACTCCCCGCACTCTAGTAGAATTTAAATATTTGATCCAAAGGAGTTATTTTTAATCAAAAATCAAAAATGATTAAATGCTTGCTGCATGCAAACATACTACACTTAAATTGAAATGCTTTACTTAGTTAATTAACGCAGTAGTCACATGACACACGGATAAGACGTACCTGGGCCGAGGATAAGCAATATTTATCTCTCAATAGGTATGATAAGTGTGAACTTTTTATTCCTGAGAATTAGTAGTTAGTAGTGCTTATTACTTATGGATAAGACATTAAGTATTCTTTCTTAGTAGTGCTTAGAAAATAGTGTTTCACGTTGTGAATAACAATATAGGTCTAATACAACAGTCAATCGAACGTTCAAGATTTTTAAAATATTACGCATTTCTTTTTGATTATAGCTTTAAAGATGCTATATTCATAACCTCTATATATATAATAATATAAATATTAAAAACTTTTATTTTGACAAATTCTTTCAAACTCTCGAGGATTACTTATAAACTCGTTGTATCACGACCAGTGGAATAAAGAGATCAAACCTCAAGAACCGTTCTTTAAACAAGTAAGATGATTTCATGCTGATCATGTTTTTAGACTCGTATACCTGCATCCTCAATTTCCATGTACTGTATAATTAAAATAAAGGCATGTTGGTTATCTGGTGGTGGTGGAATTTTCAAGGAAATATCCAGTATTTTCTTTCATTCTTGAAATGTCAAATGCATATCGATGCTAGGGAAAATCCTGGGATTTTACAAAACAAGAAAGGGGTTACCTCTGGAATGCCTGCTAGCCTCTTCAAGTATGCTGCTGTAATCAGGGTCAGAGCCTCCACGGTATTGTATCATGTATGGCTCAATTCCTCCTTTCTGCAGCCCAACATCAAGAGTTTGACCAGTCGTCATTGCGTGGATGTCATCTCTGTCGTATATAATGGATATGTCGGTCCAGTTGAATTGGGAAAATACACTCCCGAAAACCTTACGAAGGCGACACTGGCAATACGCCATCCGTGTAAGAGTGGGGAAGTTAGTTTTGTTCTTGAATAGCCCATAATCACCGAGTCCTATTGAGAAAATTCGAAGGCAGTTATTATAGAGATGGTTTAAGAAAGGTTCAGACAATAATGTAGGTCTGTTCTCGACGAAAAACTATCATTTAGGGCTTTGGAAGACCGTGTGCTATGACACGAGGTTATCCCATTGACATAAAAGAATCTCTTTTATTTTCAACATGACAAATCGTCAGTATTCCCAGGAGTATGGTCCCGTCTCAGACCTTATATTTCATTTTGCCCATTGCCAAAAAGCCCTCATTCACTTTACGATTTCGGTCTTTTCACAATGACCAGAAAATCCTGGGTCATATATCATACATTAAACAACATCTATAATTTGTAGACTCGATGTTGAACCTCACTGATCTTCCTAACCAGTCTGTTTTTACCACATAAATAGATCTTGGAAAAGTATTTCCTATACGGGAAGAATTTTCTTAACACCTTTCTCTTTAAGCTGAATGTTTGTTTTATCGAAAAGATAATGAATTAATTAAGGATTAGGTGGAATTTCATCATCGGTAGATCGAATGATTATTTCTGATATAATTATTGCAAATAATGTGCTCTTGGGTCCAAACGGACCCCAAACATCATTTAAAAAACATTCATCTAAAAACGTCCCATGATATATGGATGGACAGATCTTATGATTCAAGGTTGCAATTAACAATTAAGACTTGTCTGAATTGACATAATGTCCTTGTTAAGGTGTTATTTTGATATCCCATATAGTGCCCCTCCCCCCATATAGCGTCATTACTTACTTAATGACAGTCGTGATCAGCTGTCATGTTTCAATTAGTCTAATAGGGGAAGCGTCAGATAAAGATCTATTGGGTGTATGTATGTATATATTTATTGCACTTTAGACAAAGGAGATACACGTATACAAATTATGTAAATGTAGAATCGGAAAAAGATCACTATTTACAACAAACACTCATTGTCGGCTAAAAAGACTTGGACATATCATATTTAATTATACTTCTAAGTATAAAACTACGCCCTGGTCTTATCAAAGAATAGGTCAAGGAGGATCCTTTACATTTCACCAAACAATACCTGTTACTATGGGGATGTTCCAGTATCCGGCCAATCTGGCTACAGGTTCTAGGGCAGAAGTACACGCTGGGCCGATTACTGCAGCAATTCCTTCATTATAATACAAATCTGCAGCTTTCCCTACAAAATATTAAGTTAATTGTGTACTACATGTATCTACTCATTGGATTTTCATTTTTGGCATTATCATTTGAAGCAAGACTAATATCATTGTAAAAGCGTTGCTTCGAATAAGTAACTGTATATTTTCATTTCGACCCCTTTTGTATGTTCATGCTATGTTGGTTAACCTTTCTTATTTATCTCATTTCAGTATCAATTGCAGAAGCAATTCCTGCAAAAAAGTATAAAAGATTGCACTATTAAAAGGTAATCACCAAATTAAACAATACATCCTGTTTTGGCCGACCTTGACCTCGTATATGTTAAGATTAAGTGTTAAACTATTAATCGTAGTTCACTGATGAAAGTCCCTCAGCTTAAAATATATAAAAATACCACTTCATAAAATGTTGATTGAACCATAGACTTATTCATTGATCAGCCCATAATGGCGACTAGTCTAATGGCATACTGGATGATAACTACATTAAATCGATCGAAACGAAAAGGTTCTAAATCATTGATACTCGACAGCCATTTTCAAAAATATTGCATCGGCCATCGATGTATCCTAATACTAACCGATACTGTTGAAGTACGATCTCATTTTTATATACAACACTAACTTATTTCATATAAGTCACTCCTTTGGCAATTAATATTATATTACCTGGCATGCTTTTGATCTTTTTTTATTAAGCTATTCATTTGTACAAAGAATACAATAAAGCATGTGTAATTAAGTGGCTGTGTTTTGAGCATTATTAGCCACCTTCTACAATTACAATATACAATGTATTCAAGACAATCATATTGATTAAAATAAATGAGATGCAAGAAGATAAAAGTTGTTTTGTAGAGGATTTCAGACATTTATTGATTTGAAATTATTTTCCTAAATATAAAGATAGGAAATATACATATGTTTATATTTATAACATGAAATTAAAAATACTCTAAAAGTCTGCAATCAAATCTGTGGAAATTAAAAAAAACGTAGAACGGAGAACAGAAGATTTCCATCGGGAAAATTCACACTTTCTATTACGCAGATCGGACCACAAAATGACCACACTAGATCGAGCGTGTGACTTCTCATTTTACAAAAGAGAGATGGTTACTTGATCACTTTAAAGCGTTTCTGTGGTCGAGATAGGTCACGTATAGGTCACGCATTCAATGATGGCCATTAATACCGTCGTTGCAGATGGAAATTAAACCTTTTGCCGAAAAGCAGCCGCATAGTGCAATTTTTGTTCCAAAATACAATCAGTATTCGATACCTTTTTTATTTTATTATTATTATGTCACCACCAAAAGTGGTGACATATTGTTATGGTCTCCGTTTTTTTGCGACGGCGTCCGGCGGTTGGTGGTTGGCGTCCGGCGTCCGGCGGTTGGCGTCTGTAACAATTTCTTACAACTTCCTATAACTTAACAAATACTGTTTAGACTGACTTCAATTTTTTTCTAAATCATCTACATGTTCTCAGAAGTTCAAATCTGACTTTAGATTTGACATTTGACCTTCAATGACCTTCTCAAGGTCAAAAAGGTCTTTTTTCAACTTGCTTCACATTGACTAAATTTTTTTTCAAAATCATCTACATGTTCTCAGAAATTCAAATCTGACTTAAGATTTGACATTTGACCTTCAAATCTGACTTTAGATTTGACATTTGACCTTCAATGACCTTCTCAAGGTCAAAAAAGGTCAAAAAGGTCTGTTTTCAACTTGCTTCAAATTGACTAAATTTTTTTTTCAAAATCATCTACATGTTCTCAGAAATTCAAATCTGAGTTAAGATTTGACTTAAGATATGACATTTGACCTTCAATGACCTTCTCAAGGTCAAAAAAGGTCAAAAATGTCTGTTTTCAACTTGCTTCAAATTGACTAAATTTTTTTTTCAAAATCATCTACGTGTTCTCAGAAATTCAAATCTGACTTAAGATTTGACATTTGACCTTCAATGACCTTCTCAAGGTCAAAAAAGGTCAAAAAGGTATGTTTTCAACTTGCTTCAAATTGACTAAAAAAAATTTTCAAAATCATCTACATGTTCTCAGAAATTCAAATCTGACTTTAGATTTGACTTAAGATTTGACATTTGACCTTCAATGACCTTCTCAAAGTCAAAAAAGGTCAAAAAGGTCTTTTTTCAACTTGCTTCAAATTGACTAAATTTTTTTTTCAAAATCATCTACATGTTCTCAGAAATTCAAATCTGACTTTAGATTTGACATTTGACCTTCAATGACCTTCTCAAGGTCAAAAAAGGTCAAAAAGGTCTGTTTTCAACTTGCTTCAAATTGACTAAATTTTTTTTTCAAAATCATCTACGTGTTCTCAGAAATTCAAATCTGACTTAAGATTTGACATTTGACCTTCAATGACCTTCTCAAGGTCAAAAAAGGTCAAAAAGGTCTGTTTTCAACTTGCTTCAAATTGACTAAAAAAAATTTTCAAAATCATCTACGTGTTCTCAGAAATTCAAATCTGACTTTAGATTTGACTTAAGATTTGACATTTGACCTTCAATGACCTTCTCAAAGTCAAAAAAGGTCAAAAAGGTCTTTTTTCAACTTGCTTCAAATTGACTAAATTTTTTTTTCAAAATCATCTACATGTTCTCAGAAATTCAAATCTGACTTTAGATTTGACATTTGACCTTCAATGACCTTCTCAATGTCAAAAAAGGTCAAAAAGGTATTTTTTCATCTTGCTTCAAATTGACTAAATTTTTTTTCAAAATCATCTACATGTTCTCAGAAATTCAATAATGTCTTTAGATTTGACATTTGACCTTCAATGACCTTGTCAAGGTCAAAAAAGGTCAAAAAGGTCTTTTTTCAACTTGCTTCAAATTGACTAATTTTTTTTTTCAAAATCATCTACATGTTCTCAGAAATTCAAATCTGACTTTAGATTTGACATTTGACCTTCAATGACCTTCTCAATGTCAAAAAAGGTCAAAAAGGTATTTTTTCATCTTGCTTCAAATTGACTAAATTTTTTTTCAAAATCATCTACATGTTCTCAGAAATTCAAATATGACTTTAGATTTGACATTTGACCTTCAATGACCTTGTCAAGGTCAAAAAAGGTCAAAAAGGTCTTTTTTCAACTTGCTTCAAATTGACTTATTTTTTTTCAAAATCATCTTCATCTTTTCAGAAGTTCAAATTTGACTTTACAAGTTCTCAGAAATTCAAATCTGACTTAAGTTTGAACTCATAATATTGTGAGCAACTAGGTGGTGACATTTTGTCATGTTAATGCCTTGTTATACATGATATACACACAAGTTAATATGTTTATTACACAATTTTACAAGTACATATAAGGTACTATTTTAATTATATGTTTAAAAATTCAAAAACTTAAAAATATCGTACCGTTTACAAGTACACCGAGACTGAAAATGAAAATAAATGGTACAGTATACGGAAAACCTAAAGGCGTCATTATCTCATGTCATTTTTAAAATACTTAATTGAATTTACAATTCTTAAAATACATACTTTGCTGTGCCGTTTTCGCAAAAAAACAAAATATTGTTGCAGTACGTACATGTATATCATCGAAAAAATTTTGGATAAGCAGTCTTATGAAAATAATTATTTTTTAGTAAATAATATCATATCTACCAGGTGCTTTTGCTGCAGTACAGCCTCCATCGTACGGCTGTTTATGGACGGTTAAATTAAAATCAGACTTCAGAATCTCAGAATTTACTTTCGCTATTGCTAAGTCCACTGCTGCGCCCGTTCTTTTGATGCTATACGGAGAGTCATCGTCGTCGATTAT